TGCTCGTGGTGTCCCAGAGATCACGCGTGTCTCCCCACGGTTTACACACGTCCCCATCGGTGTCACAGAGCTCACAAGTGTCCCCACAGCGCCCACCTTCGTGTTCCTGTGGGTCACGCTTGTCCCTCTATTGTCCCCCCTCAATATCCCCGTTGTTCATACACACCGCCATAGTGTCCCCATAGTTAACACGTGTCCCCTCAATCACGTCCTCTCAGTGTCCCCGGGGTCACACGTGTCCCCTCACTGTCCCCCTTCAGTATCACCATGGCTCGTACACACCCCTGCAGTGTCCCCACAGTTCACACCTGCCCCCTCAGTGTCCCTACATCTCACACATGCCCCCTTCCATGTTCTCGTGGTTCAGTCACGTCCCCTCAGTGTGCCCAAGGCTCCCACATGTCCCTCTCAGTGTCCCCGTGGTTTGCACACATCCCCATCAGTGTTCCCACAGCTCACATGTCCGTTCAGAGACGCCCTCAATGCCTTCACAACTCACACGCTGTCCCTATCAGTGGGACACGTGTGCCCTCAGTGTCCCCCTCTCCTTGCCAGGAACCTCTCACAGAGGCAGGAGCCATCCTCCGCACCAGGACAAGTTGTGTCTGTGTCCCTTGTCCGCACGGTCGAAGCCATTCAGCAGGTCCGTGGGTTCATCAGGGGCAGGGTGATGTGGACACAGGGACTCTGAGCACCCTTCCTTGAGGAAACCCGTGTCTGACCACACAAGCTGGTTTTCTGCAGAGCAGATGATGTCTGTGACAATACATGGGGCTGATAAAGGGCACTTGGGGCTTTCAAACCCACAAGAGCTCCGTGGGTGCGCTACTGTCATGTTTGCTCACAAGGGCACTTCCAGGAGCTCCAGCTGGTGTTTGGACTCGGTCAGAGGCTCCGTTTCAGTTCATTCCCTTGACATCAGCAAAGCACAGCCTAGCAGAAAACACGCTGTGAAAACAACCAGCCATACATCTGCTTTTGGAGTAGACTGTGCTAATTAAAGAGACTGACAGGGTGCAATGGGACAATAATCCTGATTTAATAAGACTTTTCTGTTTTCTAATCTCGTGGTTAGACCTGAAGATCGTTATACTACGGCTGGAGCTCCTGGGAATTGTCTGTGTGTAAATAGGTAACAACACCACTAACAAGCAGTTGTGTCCACCACCATCCACTTTAGAGATTGATGAAAATTCATGATTCACTCTCACAGTGAAATTAGACTCATGATACCAGCACGTTCTTATTGATTTTGTATTTTTTTCCTGATAACTTTCCTTTTGAGTAACACTTGGTTTGTGGAAGTTTGTGAATCAATGTCCCATCAAATCAGCAGAGATAGGAAACAAAGACTAAACAGGAAAACAAGTTTGCAAACACTTTTAAAGACATATAATTCCACAAACCTCAAAAGGATTATGTTGATCTTTTAAAATCAGGTTTGAGTATTTTTCTGCAGATGTGTATAATAAACAAGTTATTGTCCAAAGTAATTGTTTTTTTCTCCATCAGAAGCACTTCTAAAATAGTTTTAAATCAATATTTTCAGAGCATTCCTTGTAAAAATGTGTCCTTGTGTCATGCTCCATTTTTTCCTTGCATTTTTCCTTGCAATTCTCTCCTGATCTCACCCCTTTTTCTTTCCATTTACCCATGAAAAGGGGAAGACAAAAGCAGAAATTACAATAGAAAATTATAAAATAAATATAAAAATACAGAAATCTATTCCTTGTTTCAATTGAGAAACTATTCTAAAACTAAGCAACAAACATAAATACTGTTCCCTTGTGCAAACTGAAAGCAAGGGGAGAAATTCAGGAAAGTGTCAAAAACAAGAATGCAATAAATTAGAAAAGTCATTGACAGCAGCACATGTATGAAACCAGAGCAAGAACTAACACAGAACCTTTTCCACCATATGACAGTAGATTCCTTTTCTTTTGGAGTATCCCCCCCATGTCTTTGGGGGACTGACCTTGCTCAGAAGCAGTGCCATGAGAACAGCCGGGTCACCTGCGGGAACACACACCTCCAGAAATTTAGATCCCAGTCAAAGTTCTTTAACCCATGCTGAGGCTGTTTGGTGACAGCCAACCCTTCAAAAAGAACACTTTGACACAGGGATGTGTCGCCCTGTAAATCAAGCTTTCTGACATTGTTTTCATAGCTTCTAGACACTTTCCCAGGAAAGTAACTATAAACATAGATGTTCATACATTCCATTAAAGATAT